TTGATAAGAACTACAGTTCCATAGGAATCTCAGCCATTCGTACTGTAAGGTTCATAATGTGACAGACAAACATTCAATAAATACTTCCCTCCTCACTAGGCTAGAAATGTTACGAAATCATCACGAGAGGAAGTCTACATGAAAAAAAAATTATTACACGCATTATTTATTGGCATGTGTGTAAGGATAAGGATTCAAATAGGTCACAAAATAATGTATTTGTAATGCTAAGGGTTCGCACCCACGAACTCCGGGTCTAGTATCTTAAGCTAGACCATGCGATTCGAAATTATTGATATAAATATGGCAAATCTAATTACAGAGTGACAAAGAAAGGGAAACAGAAGATAATATGCTAATCCGCTATCAGAGAAAACTTAATATTTTGGTGCCTGAATCTAGACCATTAAGAAATATACGAACTTACTCATTCACTAAATAACTCACATGGGTTTAGTGTTTCTTTGTGGATATAATAATAATAATAATAATAATAATAATAATAATAATAATAATAATAATAATAATAATAATAATAATAATAATAATAATAATACGTATTTAATCACTCTTTTGGTACAATATACCAAAAACGAAAAAGCTACAAACTGTGAAGGAAAGGAAGAATTTCAGCCCAGCTTCATGAAATATACTTAAAATTCCAGTTTTTTTTTTGTCATTTGGTGATTATAGTACAGGAAGCAGCCAGTTGACGGGGGTATAGTAGAGGAAGTAGCCAGTTGACGGGGGTATAGTAGAGGAAGTAGCCAGTTGACGGGGGTATAGTAGAGGAAGTAGCCAGTTGACGGGGGTATAGTAGAGGAAGTAGCCAGTTGACGGGGGTATAGTAGAGGAAGTAGCCAGTTGACGGGGGTATAGTAGAGGAAGTAGCCAGTTGACGGGGGTATAGTAGAGGAAGTAGCCAGTTGACGGGGGTATAGTAGAGGAAGCAGCCAGTTGACGGGGGTATAGTAGAGGAAGCAGCCAGTTGACGGGGGTATAGCCTAGGTAATGGTCCGGTAAATATGAAGGTGATGCCTAACCAGACTGTAGGAGAGAAAGTGGGCTCTAGTTGATTTGACAGACATTTGCTCTCTCTCTCTCTCTCTCTCTCTCTCTCTCTCTCTCTCTCTCTCTCTCTCTCTCTCTCTCTCTCTTGTTCTTATCCTTGTGGCACACAAGCTCCAGTGAATTTCACTTACATCCACCTTAAACGAACAGTACTAATAATTCCTTGCCAGCACACAGCAATGAAGTTAACGTTGTCAAGGTGTCAACAGTTACGAGAAAATAACTGTCTCCGAGCACAGCTATAAAAGCAATAAAAGTGAAACGGATTGCATATGAGAGTAAACTTAATCTATGTAATTGACAAAAGTATCCTGAGTGGTTAATGTTGCAACTGATGCTCGAGTCTGTAGCGTCTGTTGATAAACATTATGATAAAAATTAAAATTAGGACATAGTGAGGTGGTGGGTAGGAAGAAAAACTAAGAAGTTGTAGTGTTAATCTTAAATTTTTCTGGTGTCTTTCATCAGAATGATGGGAGACACCAGGCTATGAGGATTATCTAGGGCTCGGTACGGCGCAAGCTGTCAGTAGTCCTATGAACCCTCAACAATAACTACTCACCCCGTACGGTGTAAGCAGTCAATAGCCCTATAAACCCCAAACAAAAGCAACTCATCCTTTATGGCATAAGCCGTCAGTGGCCCTATAAACCCCCAGCAACAACTACTAGCCCGTACGGTGTAAACAGTCAGTAGCCCTATAAACCCCAAACAAAAACAACTCATCCTATACGGCATAAGCCGTCAGTAGCTCTAAAATCCCCCAACAAGAGAAAACTGCTCAGGAAACTCAGATGAAGCCTGCTCCCAGACTCGCCCTTAAGAGGTGAAGCCTCTAATACTATTAGACTTTGCTTCTTCAAGTAGGCATTCCTTTCAGGTCGGTGCCTTGATTCTAGTGAAATCCTCTTGTTCCATTAAACTGGAGCAAATTTCCCCTCTTGTAGATCAAATCTTGTTATATCCTATTTCACAGGTGCTTATGGGTCCAACGGGTTTAGAGCTTACCTCATGAGGGTACTAATAGAAGTACACGCGGTTTTAATAACGGAAATCCAACAGTGGTGCGGCAGTGATTGCTTATTCAACCAGGTTGTTGTGGTTGGCGGCCGGTGAGCCAGTGATTGTTTAGTGAGTGGAACTCTACAGTTCATTTTACAGGGACTCGAGGTCATCTACATTTTTCAGTGAATTGTAAACCCCCCCCCCCCACTGATAAATCACTGGTAAACTCAGCCTCATTGTGCTAGATTGCTAGCGCACTCAGTTCACACACTGAGGTCCGTAGTTCGATCCCGGTACGGGGTGGAAATATTAGGACGTGTTTCTTTAAGACACCTGCTGTCCATGTTCACCTAACCAGTCGACTAACACATAGGTGTTAGTCGACTGGTGTGGGTCGCATCCTGGAGACAAAATTGACCTAATTTGCCCGAAATGCTCTGCATAACCAGCGGCTTTCTGTATAGTAAGTCACTGATGTCAGCTAGGTTAGTAAGTCACTGATGTCAGCTAGGTCTGTATACCTTGTACTTGTAGAAGTAATGTTTGTTGTTGTTATTATTATTATTATTATTATTATTATTATATTATTATTATTATTATTATTATTATTATTATTATTATTATTATTATTATTATTATTATTATATTATTATTATTATTATTATTGTTATTATTATTATTACCGACAAGTTAGCGGTTGCGTAATCTATAATCAGACGACACACAGTACCGGTACGCTTGTAGATACTTTGATGCTGATTCCCAGCATCCGGAAGTCAGCTGGTCATCCTTGGGATGAAACACACAGCAGGATGTATTTCCCTTATTGAGAAAATACCACACACCCCTTCACTCTCGATCTACTCAAGATATTCAGGAAGACAGTTCATGAAGATAGTTTAGGAAGACAGTTTAGGAAGATCAGGAAGGTACTTTAAGAAGAGAAGTCTGAAAGATGCTTTAGGGGAAGAGTTCATGAAGATCGTTCGGAAAGTTACCTTTCTGTTACTGTCCTTTTACTGTCAGTATCCCACATGATGAGGGAGCCGAGACAAGGGCTCATGTCTCTTGTCTTTCAACTGTCAGTATCCCACATGATGAGGGTGCCGAGACAAGGGCTCATGTCTCTTGTCTTTCAACTGTCAGTATCCCACATGATGAGGGTGCCGAGACAAGGGCTCATGTCTCTGTCTTTCAACTGTCAGTATCCCACATGATGAGGGTGCCGAGACAAGGGCTCATGTCTCTGTCTTTCATTTGTCAGTATCCCACATGATGAGGGAGCCGAGACAAGGGCTCATGTCTCTTGTCTTTCATTTGTCAGTATCCCACATGATGAGGGAGCCGAGACAAGGGCTCATGTCTCTTTGGGTTTCATTTGTCAGTATCCCACATGATGAGGGAGCCGAGACAAGGGCTCATGTCTCTTGGCTTTCATTTGTCAGTATCCCACATGATGAGGGTGCCGAGACAAGGGCTCATGTCTCTTGTCTTTCATTTGTCAGTATCCCACATGATGAGGGAGCCGAGACAAGGGCTCATGTCTCTTGGCTTTCATTTGTCAGTATCCCACATGATGAGGGAGCCGAGACAAGGGCTCATGTCTCTGTCTTTCATTTGTCAGTATCCCACATGATGAGGGTGCCGAGACAAGGGCTCATGTCTCTTGTCTTTCATTTGTCAGTATCCCACATGATGAGGGAGCCGAGACAAGGGCTCATGTCTCTTGGCTTTCATTTGTCAGTATCCCACATGATGAGGGAGCCGAGACAAGGGCTCATGTCTCTGTCTTTCAACTGTCAGTATCCCACATGATGAGGGAGCCGAGACAAGGGCTCATGTCTCTGTCTTTCAACTGTCAGTATCCCACATGATGAGGGAGCCGAGACAAGGGCTTATGTCTCTGTCTTTCATTTGTCAGTATCCCACATGATGAGGGAGCCGAGACAAGGGCTCATGTCTCTGTCTTTCAACTGTCAGTATCCCACATGATGAGGGTGCCGAGACAAGGGCTCATGTCTCTGTCTTTCATTTGTCAGTATCCTACATGATGAGGGAGCCGAGACAAGGGCTCATGTCTCTTTCTTTCAACTGTCAGTATCCCACATGATGAGGGAGCCGAGACAAGGGCTTATGTCTCTGTCTTTCATTTGTCAGTATCCCACATGATGAGGGAGCCGAGACAAGGGCTCATGTCTCTGTCTTTCAACTGTCAGTATCCCACATGATGAGGGAGCCGAGACAAGGGCTCATGTCTCTGTCTTTCAACTGTCAGTATCCCACATGATGAGGGAGCCGAGACGAGAGTTCATGTCTCTGCCCCGCCCAAGAGACGTAGTAACAGCTGGCGCCACACATGTAAACACATGGTTCTAGCCAGTCTGCACAGATGAAATTTATAATATTCCCAGAGCGGCGTCACATAAAGCTAAAAACGCTACAGCAACGAGTACAAACCTACAACAATATTTTTTGTAAACAAAATCGTGTCATCAGAGTAATAATCGTCTCCAGTCTGTGAAGCTTTTTTCTTTTTTTGCATCAAAACTAAACAATGATTCTAGTACGTGCAAGAATAAGCAATACTAAAGAATTATATCCTTTAGCATTTGTCTCAAAAACTGTCATTTGTCTTGGAGTTACCAGTTCCTGTGTAAGGTGGCAACCAGCTATAAGGAACTTCCGTGATGCACCATAGGCGTTATTCCCCTCTCTTGGTGTTGTTTCAGTCTCTTTTGCTAACTCGTTTTTGAAGGGACACTTAAAAAATATATCTTGAATTGCATTTACACTTGAACTGGTTGTTTTGTTGATCTGTGGGGGGGATACCTCGGTGAAGAAAAACATATCGCAACGACTGCAGCTTTTTCTTAAGTGGCGGAAGTGAAAGGTGGGTATAAAAGGAGGTCTTTGCTCAGACCAGCCTTTAGTGTACTTCAGACTCAGGATACGGCGGTCTGTGTAGGTTGCTCTGTGTGTGTGGGTGTGTGTAAGTGACGAGGGTGGGGCCGTGATTGTTCATAGAGAACGGGAAGCCAGCCGACAGAGATAGAAAACAGGGAGGTTGTCCGTGTCAACTTGTCAAATTAAGAAAGGACAGATAGATATACGGACACTGTTAATGAACATTGATCAGTACGAGTAAAGGACATTGTTAGGTTATACGTCAATTATGTTATTTTCACTGTTATTATATACGGACACTGTTAATGAACCTTGATCAGTACAAGTCAAGGACATTGTTGGGTCACAGCTGTCACTTGTGTTACTCTGTAGTTTAAGATCAAAAAAACACAATATAACATTCTTAACAAAACCAAATATTTCTGGAAATTTTAATAAGTACGACAACCACAATAAAAAAGGCAAATTAAGGCAATGTTTTTAATCACTACGACTCAAGAAATCGCAATGACACGATTGCAAACAAACCATACTCCCGGCAGGGATTGAACCCGCGGTTGAGACTCTATGACCGCGGGTTCAATCCCGGCGGGGGTACGGTGTTTTTAATCACTAAATAAGTACTATAGCAACATACAACTTACGTAGAATTTCAGTATATCACTAAAAGAAGAGAATCTCACTTATGTTTTACACACCTTCAAAACGTTTCGCGCTTTCAACAAGTTTTAATCAACTGCTGTATGACCCTTGTGGGTTTAGCACTTAATTATGATTATCATAATAATGATCATGCGAGTATTAAACTGAAAAAAACATTACTTATACTAATTCCTCATTATTATTATTATTATTATTATTATTATTATTATTATTATTATTATTATTATTATAAACTGAAACTAAAGATGCTAAATGGATTTTGCTTATATAGTAGATGCCACTAAAAAAAAATGTGATATAATATTTTAAGGTCAAGGTTTTACGTGCGTAATTTTGAAAATAAAAACCCAAGAATATATATAAGGGTTGTTTATAGTGATTAAAAATACCATTTAAATTTAAAAGCGAACATAAGTGTTTTTAAGAGTCAATAATGGCTGAAGAAGACAGCTGATGTCTGGTGTCTCTGAGGATCTGGAATCTTACTGAACGTAAATGAGCACCGCTTCATGCATGCTCAGAAATCTGTTATCTTAATATTTATGTCCTCTCAAGGAAGGTTCCTTGATGTTGGTGAGGGGCTCTTGATTTAGGGAATTGGATCTGTGCTCCAGTTCCCCGAATTAAGCCTGAATGCCTTCCACATCTCCACCCCCCCAGGCGCTGTATAATCCTCCGGGTTTAGCGCTTCCCCCTTGATTATAATAATAATAATTAATATTTATATAAAATGAAAAAGCTGTATTCAATAAAGTCAATAGTGAAAAGCACCAGTAGTTGCTTTATAGAGAAAACATTTGCTTATTTAATTTTTTTGGTGAGATAAGACTAAGTTTATAACTTCTTGCTATACATTAGTCACAGGAAACTAATTGTATTTTATTGTATTTTTCGTTTTAATAATGATAGTGCATTCGTTTGCGTTTCATTTTAAAATGTGTCTAGTAATAATTACTTTATTCCAGACCTAGCACCACTCCGCCATGTGTGACGACGACGTCAGCCCTTTGGTTGTGGACAATGGCTCCGGCATGGTTAAGGCCGGCTTCGCTGGTGACGACGCTCCCCGAGCCGTCTTTCCCTCCATCGTCGGCCGTCCTCGTCACCAGGGTGTGATGGTTGGTATGGGTCAGAAGGACGCCTACGTCGGTGATGAGGCTCAGAGCAAGAGAGGTATCCTGACTCTCAAGTACCCCATCGAGCACGGCATCATCACCAACTGGGACGACATGGAGAAGATCTGGCATCACTCTTTCTACAACGAGCTGCGTGTTGCCCCTGAGGAGTCTCCTGTCCTCCTCACTGAGGCTCCCCTCAACCCCAAGGCCAACCGTGAGAAGATGACACAGATCATGTTTGAGACATTTGCCACACCAGCCATGTACGTGGCCATCCAGGCCGTGCTGTCCCTGTACGCTTCTGGTCGTACCACAGGTATCGTGCTGGACTCTGGTGACGGTGTGTCCCACACTGTCCCCATCTACGAGGGTTATGCTCTTCCTCACGCTATTCTTCGTCTTGATCTGGCTGGCCGGGACTTGACTGCTTACCTGATGAAGATCATGACAGAGAGAGGTTATTCCTTCACCACCACGGCTGAACGAGAAATTGTACGTGATATTAAAGAAAAACTTTGTTATGTGGCCTTAGACTTCGAAAGCGAAATGAATGTAGCAGCTGCCTCTTCTTCTCTTGAAAAGTCCTATGAACTTCCTGATGGACAAGTTATTACAATTGGCAATGAGCGTTTCCGTGCTCCTGAATCTCTTTTCCAACCTTCTTTCCTGGGTATGGAATCTGTTGGCATCCACGAGACTGTTTTCAACTCCATCATGAGGTGCGACATTGACATCAGGAAGGACCTGTTCGCTAACAACGTTCTTTCTGGTGGTACCACCATGTACCCTGGTATTGCTGACCGCATGCAGAAGGAAATCACTGCTCTGGCTCCTTCCACCATCAAAATCAAGATCATTGCTCCTCCCGAGCGTAAGTACTCCGTCTGGATCGGTGGTTCCATCCTGGCTTCACTGTCCACCTTCCAGTCCATGTGGATCACCAAGGAGGAGTACGACGAGTCCGGCCCCGGCATCGTCCACCGCAAATGTTTCTAACATCCCAAATGTATCAATATTTTTTTGTTATATGGCTTGCGAATTTGTTTTTATACTTTGTGTACTTAAGAACAAACGTAACGTATAACAATGCTGGAATTAAAGTTAATAAATATTTTGTCACCCAGTTAGTATATTTGTGATCCCTTGCTATCAACTCTTCTTTTGAATGACACATCTATCGGCCCTCTATGTGTCATATATTCCACAAAATTTACAAATATTTTTATAATATAACAGAATGCATTAAATAATGTATGGGCAATTAATTTTTGATAATTATGAATGTTAATTGAATCTATGGAACGGGATTTAAGATCCAGAAAATATAATTATTTCTAAAAGTTCTCTTAACTATATTAAAGTACTCTGAAAAATTTTGATGCGTGTGAAGAACATATTCCCAAGTCAATGGTTATATTTCACAAAATGCTTGGCAATAGAGTTGCTTGTGGAAGTGAAATAAATATCTAATTTTTGCTGTGAAATCAATGGAGGTCAAGTGATACATCTTTGTATTGAAGGTTAACTCATTCTATACTCGTTTGAGCCGAAGAAGTCAAGCCAAGTCATGTGTCATGGCGTAACGATACAGTGTGTAAACCTGCCTACAACAACATGCCCATATACCTTAAACCTTCAGATTATCTCTTCCATCTCACACTGTAGTGTACATTTTTTGGTGCATATATTCTGAAAACTTTACAATTGTTATATCGAGGTGAATGGCCAGTTTATTGACCCAGTATATGCGACAATCTTGAAACCCAACACTCGCCTCCTACAACCCCTTCGGAAAATATAACATAGCGACTAATAGTTGTTAAACGTATGTTAATAAGAATAAAATAACAAACACTTATTAACAAAACGTTTCGCCGTAAATGACTTCTCTAGCTCTATTGGACTGGCGAAACGCTTCTGCTAATGAACGTTCAAAACTGAACATAAATGTCTAACTATATAGCGGCTATTGCAATACACAGAACTCACACTGTGAAGAACCACTGAAGCGCCAGTTATCAACTGAACACCTCCAGAGGGCCGCCCCCATCCCAGGAAGAATAAGTTCACGCTAAACAGGGATGCTGCTAGTTAAGATTCATCTGCAGATGGTTCGTGTTTTAAAGCATCACCATTGTACTGCGTGAAAACTGCTCTTGGGGTTCGTGAACTTTGTTCCAGGTTCATTTTCGCTTGTGACTTCCGAAATCAAACAGTATGAACCGTAATAATTGCACAGTAGTCTGTCATTTCAAATTATATTCATTATACATAAAGTAACAAGTAATTAATACGAAATAAGCCGAGTCAGTGAGCGTAATGTAACGTGCCTAGCTTCTTGGGAATGACATGCGGGGTAAGCATCTGTGATGTGGCATAGGAGTAAGAGGTGCCCAGTAGGAAATAGCTGCCTTGAGTGCAGCATTCAGTGGTGCCACAACCCGTTATGTCAACAGTGCCGGGAGCACTACTCTTCTGTTTCTTTCTCTCACTTCTCTCCTACCACCACATTCCCAGGGCCCACCAGACCTGCCTTCCCTGCCTACCACACGCGCATCCTGCCCACCAACCTTTCCCTGCCCCGCTCCCTCAAGCCCACCAAGCCTGCCTCCATGCCTACCCACTTCAGGCCTTGCAACCCCCAGGCCTGCCTTCCGGCCTACCTCGAGAACATCCCTGCAAAAACGCCCAACCTGCCTAACCACGCCTCATCCTGCCCACCAGCTGCCTTCCCCTGCCTACCACAACTCATCCTGCGCGTCCAACGCGTGCCTCCCATGCTCATCCTGCCCGGAAACCTGCCTACCATGCTGCATCCTGGCCTGCCAACCTGCCGACCCACTCTCATCCTGCCGGCCGCCCCTGCCTACCACGCTCATTTCCGCCCGGCCACCTCCTAACCACGCTCATCCCTGCTGCCGGCCAGCTGCCTACCACGCTTCCATTCCTGCCGGCCAGCCTGCCTACCATCTCATCCTGCACGCCAACCTGCCTACCCGACGCTCATCCTCCTGTGCCCGGCCAGCCTGCCTACCATGCTCATCCTGCACGCCCAACCTGCCTACCATGTGTTGCATCCTCAACCCAGTCCTGCCTACCAATGCTCTCCGCCCGCCCCAACTGCCTACCACGCTCATTCCTGGCCGGCCAGCCTTGCCTACCATGCTCCATCCCTCCCGCCAGCCTGCCTACCATGCTCATCCTCACGCCAACCTGCCTACCACCACGCTCATCTGCCCGCCAGTCTGCCTACCATGCTCATCCATGCACCCAAACCTGCGTACCAATGCTCATCCTGCAACGCCAACCTGCCTAAAACCATGCCATCCTGGCCCGCCACCTGCCTACCATGTCATCCTGCACGCCAGCCTGCCAACCAACGCTCATCGCCCACCAAACCTGCCTACCATGCGCCATTTCTGCACGCCCGTCTGCCTACCATACTCATTCTGCACGCACCCGGCCTACCATGGCTCATCCTGCACGCCAACCTAGCCTACCACGCACAATCCTGCACGGCCAACCTGCCTACCATGCTCATGGCCTGCACGTCAAACCTGGCCGAACCACCACATCCTGGACGCCAACCTGCCTACCATGCTCATCCTGCACTCCCAACCCCTGCTACCATGCACATCCTGCAGCCAACCTGCCTACCATGCTCATCCCCTGCATGCCAAACCGCCTACCATGCTCAACCTGCACGCCAACCTGCCTACCCCAACCAACGCTCATCCCCATTGCAACGCTCCAACCTGCCTTACCATCTCATCCTGCACGCCAAACCTGCCTACCCATGGCTCAACCAGCAACGCCAACCCGTGCCTACCATGCACATCCTACACACGCCATACCTGCCTACCATGGCTCCACCTGCACTGGCCATCCTGCCCCTTACCATCTCATCCATGCACACGCCCACCTGCCTACTGCATGCTCATCCTGCACGCCAACCTGCCTACCACCACATGCTCAATCCTGCAACGAAAACCGCGCGTACCCATGCCAGGCCTGCACGCCAACCTGCCTACCATGCTCATCCTGCACGCCAACCTGCCTACCATGCTCATCCTGCACGAAAACCTGCCTACCATGCTCATCCTGCACGCCAACCTCCAACCATGCTCAATCCTGCAACGCCATCCTGTGCCTACCATGCTCATCCCAGCAGAACGCCAACCTCCTACCATCTCATCCTGCACGCCAGCCTGCCAACCATGCTCATCCTCCTGCAAATCGCCAACCTGCCTAACCAGTGCTCGATCCTGCACGCCCAACCTGCATACCATGCTCGTCCTGCACGGAGCCAACCTGCCTACCCATGCCATCCTGCACGAAACCTTGCCTACCAATGCTCATCCTGCAACGCCAACCTGCCTACCATGCTGCTCCTCCTGCACGGCCAACCTGCCTACCATGCCATTCCTGCCTGCACGTCCAACCTGCCGTACCATGCACATCCTGCACGAGCCAACCTCTGCCTACCATGCACACCAGCAACGCCAGCCTGCCTAACCATGTTCATCTGCACGCCCAGCCTGCCCTTACCATCTCTTCCTGCTACGCCAGCCTGCTCCATCTCCATTCCTGCACGCCAACCTGCCTACCATTCACATCCTGCACGCCATCCTGCTACCATGCAGCATCCTGGTCACGCCAGCCTGCCATCCATGCTCATCCCCCACGCCAGCCATGAGCCTACTGCCTCCAACCTGCACGCCATCCTGCCTACCATGCTCATCCTGCACGCCAACCTGCCTACCATGCTCATCCTGCACGCCATCCTGCCTACCATGCTCATCCTGCACGCCATCCTGCCTACCATGCTCATCCTGCACGCCAACCTGCCTACCATGCTCATCCCCTGCACCGCCGCCTGCCTGACCATGGCTCAATCCTGTACGCCCAGCCTGCCTAACCATGGCTCCATCCTGCACGCCAGCCTCCTACCGACCAAGCCTCATCCTGCACGCCAACCTGCCTACCATGATCATCCTGCACGCCAACCTGCCTACCATGCTCATCCTGCACGCCAGCCTGCCTACCATGCACCATCCTGCACGCCAGCCCTGCCTACCCCTGCTCTCATCCTGCCACGCCAGCCTGCCTACCAATGCCAACCTGCACGCGCCAAGCCTGCCTACCATGCTCATCCTGCACGCCAACCTCCAACCATGCGTCATCCTGCACGCCCCAGCCTAAACCCTACCATCTCATCCTGCTAAGCGCCAGCCCCTGCCTACCATGCTCATCCTGCACGCCACGCCCCCTGCCTCCATGTCATCCTGCACGCCAGCCTTCCCCTACGCCATGCTCATCCTGCACGCCAGCCTGCCTACCATGCTCATCCCTTCACGCGGCCAGCCTGCCTACCATGGCTCATCCCTGTCACGCCAGCCTGTGCCTACCATGCTCATGATCCCCCTGCACGCCAGCCTCCTACCCTGCTCATCCTGCACGCCAGCCTGCTACCATGGCTCATCCTGCACGCCAGCCTGCCTACCAAGCTCATCCTGCACGCCAACCCTGCCTACCAGCTCATTCCTGCAACGCCCAACCTGCCTACCATGCTCCATCCCTGCACGCCAGCCTGCCTACCCATGCTCACCTGCACCCAGCCTGCCCTACCATGCCTCATCGCAGCGCCATCCCTGCTACCAGCTCAATCCTGCACGCCCAACCTGCTCCTACCATGCTCATCCTGCACGCCAACCTGCCTACCATGCTCATCCTGGCCACGCCCAGCCCTGCCACCAATGGCTCATCCTGCAGCACGCCAGCCTGCCTACCATGCTCATCCTGCAAACGCTATTCCGGCCTACCCACTGCTCCACCTGCACGCCAAACCTCGCCTACCATGCTCATCCTGCACGGCCATCTGCCCTACCATGCCTCATCTTGCACGCCAACCTGCCTGCCATGCTCACCAGCACGCCAAACCTGCCTACCAATGCTCATCCTGCAACGCCAGCCTGCCTACCATGCTCATCCTGGCACGGCCAAGCCCCTGCCTACCATGCTCATCCTGCACCCAACATCCTGCCTACCATGCTCACTACCTGCACGCCAACCCTCCTACCATGCTCATGCCGTCCTCCTGCACGCCATCCTGCCTACCAGTGC